GTAGAACGGCGGCAGCGAAGTGTCGGTGCGCAGAAACAGCGACGGGTCAGCAGTAGAAGGCGCGAACCCAAGTGCCGCAAGAGTAGTCCTCAGTGTGTCGTGCCACTCACGTGGCGCCTGGCCAAGACCGTAGACCGGCCGCCGGAGGCTCCACTGGGTACCAGGAGGAAACGACCCAGTGAAGCCAGGAGGGCGGCGCAGCCAGATCTCCTCGTGCAGGCTGCCCTGCAAGAAAGCTGTGCTGAAGTCAAGAGAGTGAAGCTCGTAGTCACGCTGAGCAGCAACGTGCAGTAGCACCCGAAGAGTGGTCATCTTCGGGGTGGGGGAGAAGGTCTGGAAGAAGTCTACTCCGTCTCGCTGACTGAAGCCTCGAGCAACGTAACGAGCCTTGAAGACAGGCGGAGAACCCGGCGGCCGCTTCACCCTGAAAATCCACATGCCACTGACGATGTTCGCCCCAGGAGGGGGAACCTCGTCGACGTAAGTGCCAGTGGACTTCTAGGATGCCATCTCTGCGTCCATGGCTGACTGCCACTGAGAGGAGTAGGGACCCTCTATTGCCTCTGCGTAAGAGCGCGGGGTCGGGATGTCTGGTGCATCCGGGTCTCCCTCAGGTGCAATCAGCATGGACACGAGATGAGGTACAGCGGCTGCAAAGCACTCAAAGTCCTCCTGCCTGTCCTCAAGGACGTCCGTGCCAAGAGCACACTCACCCCCGACGGACGGAGGACAGACAGACTCAGACTCAGCAACAAGACTAGTGGCGTAGTCGAGACGACAATGAGCAGCAAAGTCGACAAGCTCAGCAACTAAGGCAGACGCAACAGTGGACTCAAAGGAAGGGTCAGTGACAACAGTGGCCAGGAGACACGTGACAGTAGGACTAGCAGCACGAAGTGAGTCAGACTCTGGGTCAGAAGGGGCAGGAAGAGAGGACGCAGGAGGAGACGACAGAGGGACACGCTGTGGAGCAGTGGAAGGGCGCAGTGCCATCCAGTGCATGCCAGGGACAGGAGGAGGACGCTGACGTGAACCACGACGACTTGTGCTAGCAGCACGAACAGGCGACGCAGGACGAGACGCAGGCTCACGACGCTCAGCAGGACCTCCGGTCGGACCAGTGTAAGGAGAAGGAGCAGGCAGTGGGGAGGCGGGCTGTAACTGTGACTGCGACTGGACACGCGGTGGACACCCTAAGGAAGTAGCAGGACCAGTAGAAGGCGGAAGACCAAGAACCTGCTGAAGGAGCGGAACGTAGTACGGCCGCGGCCGCGCAGCGCCTCCAGAACCAGCAGGGACAGAACCAGCACCCCCAGTGGCAGCTCCAAACTCCAGCAGTACCACCAGCTCCAGCAGCACCTCCAGCAGCACCAGAAGCGCCAACTCCAGCACCCACAGGAGCACGGGCTCCAGCAGCACCTCCAGCTCCAGCACCTCCAGCAGCTCCAGCTTCAGCAGGACCACCAGAAGCCCCAGCAGCGCCAGCAGCTCCAGCTCTAGTACCTCCAGCAGCACCTGCCCCAGCAGCACCGCCAGCTCCAGCACCTCTAGCAGCTCCAGCTCCAGCAGCACCACCAGGCCCAGCAGCTCCAGTACCTCCAGTACGAGCACCTCCGGGACCCGTGGCCCCAGAACCCCCAGCAGCTCCAGCAGTAGCAGGACCTCCAGCAGGAGCAGGGCCTCCAGCGCTCGGAGAACCACCAGCTCCAGCAGCACGGCTCCAGCGCCGAGCAAACCACTCGCGCAGCTGCTGTGGAGAGAGTGGCTCCCGCCGGGACGAAGCACCCGAAGGACCTCCAGGCTCAGCACCGCCAGACTCCACACGAGCAGGCCCAGCACCCTCAGGCTCCGCACCCCCAGACCCAGCAACCCCAGGCTCAGCACCCCCAGACACAGCACCCCCAGGCTCAGCACCCCCAGACTCAGCACCCCCAGGCTCAGCACCCCCAGACTCAGCACCCCCAGGCTCAGCACCCCCAGACTCAGCACCCCTAGGCTCCGCACGCTCAGGCTCAGCACCCCCAGACCCAGCACCCGCAGGCTCAGTACCCCAAGCAGCACCAGAGTCAACAGCTACCTCGACAGGCTCGACTGCGTCTACCTGGGACACACCTGAGGGGGCAGGACCCTGAGGGGGTAGGGGGTCTACCGGGGGAGGACCTAGCGCGAGGAAGAGCGGCGGGGGGGGGAGGGGGGAAGTGCGGTAGGGGAAGAGACGGTAGTAAGGAAATGACTTGTCAAACGTGATGTCCTGAGAGGACAGAACACGGCGCGAGGTGGGGTGGTAAAACTGCCAACCAGGCGCGTCAGGGGGGAAGCCAAGGAAGACGCAGGGAACAGCACGGGAGGACAGCTTGTCCGCAGACAAGTCGCGGACGAAAGTTCAAGATCCCCAGACATGGAACGCAGACGCATCGCCAACCTTCCCCGTCCACCGCAGAGTAGGTGTGGTCTCCGGCATGGAGACCCGGGGCTGAAGGTTGAGCTGATGCGCCGCGTACTGAGCCGCGAATGGCCACAGAAAATAGGGAGCAGCCACATGGATCATGGATGTGCGAGCGACATCCATGACCATGCCAATGCGGCGCTCAACAGTCCCATTTTGCTTCGTAGAGGCCGGAAGCGTGAACGTCTGGCGGATGCCCTCCGCACGACAGAAGGCTCGCAGAAGGTCGGAGGAAAACTCTCCACCTCTGTTGGAGTGCAGACGCAGAACAGGAATGTCCGAGCTGAAACTCTTGCTGAGCTGACGACGGGCAGCGCGGATCCAGTCGATCAGCACCTCAGTGACCTCACCCTTGCGGTGCAAGGGGAAGACTGTGGAGTAGTCGTTAACGACCAGCAGAAAGTAGCGGTCGTGACCCTGGCCAAGGACGCGGGCTGGGCCCCACACGTCCATGTGAAGAGTCTGCAGGGGAGCCTCCGTCGGAGGGAACTCGGAGGAGTGAGGAGCGGCGCGCTGCCGCCCCTCGATGCAAGGAACGCAGGTAGGGGCAGGCCCCGGGGGAAGGGGAGGGAGGGACTGGGGAAGACCAGTGACAAGGATACGGGAGGCCATGCCTCGGAGACGAGGCAGGGAGGGGTGACCAAGGCGGTGGTGCCAGAGGAGAGTTTGGTGAGACAGGAGGCGACACGAGCAGGGGGGAGACTCAGGACCTGACCGAGACACTGCAGCAAACACCTGACCCGACGCATCTACCTGACCAGACTCAGCAACCGGAGGAGACACGGTAGTCAGAGTGTACAGACTTGACCCAGGCTGACGGGAGAACGTGGCCAGGTGCCGGCCAGTCCGACTACACGAATAGTGGGTCACCTGCTGACCTCCAGGAGTGAACTGGTCTACCCACGCATCCTGAAGGTCAGCTCCACTCACCAAGTTCGTGGAGAACGAGGGGAGGTGGAGGCCAGACAGAGAGCCAGACGGGACCGCCGGACACGGCAGAACCGTGGAGGAGTGTGCAAGGACCGAACCCCCAGAGGGGTTAGCCAGAGAGACTGCCACTGGCCGACTGAGCGGCGAGAGTGTGGTGCAGTCGCGAAAGAAGGAGTGGGAAGCACCCGAGTCAAGGGTGAAAGTGTGCAACGCCGCAGCAGGCGCAGTACCAGAGAGAGCAGACGCACCAGCACCTGGAGCAGTGGACTCACTAGCGACTAGAGCAGCAGCCTCACCGGCACCTGGAGCAGGAGACGCACCAGCACCTAGAGCAGCAGCCTCACCAGCACCTAGAGCAGCAGACTCTATACCTGGGTCAGGCGGCACACACAGGTAACAGGCACCCTCACCACTAGTAGGCAATGCATACATGGCAGTGAAGATAGCATCGTAGTCAAGAGCAAAGATATCTACCCTCTGCCTAAGCAGCTCCAGCCAGGAGGGGAGCTCAGCGTCGTCGCCAAACTCTGTACGCCAGGCGTCGCTCAGACTGGCGAAGCAGCGGGACTCTGTGTGACCAACCGTCCCGTAAGGCTGACCACCCCGAGCACCAGTGCGAATGATGTATGGGCAGCGAGCAGTACTCCGTGACCCTCTACTCTGAGTGTACCACTCACGAAGCTGCTGGGGCGAAAGAACCGCATGCGGACGCTGCTGCAGCTTCACTTGGTCACTACAAGAAGCTCCCAAACGACCCGCCCCAGGGCGACTCCCACCACGGCCACCCCTACAACCCCAACTAGCGTACCACTCACGAAGCCGATGGGTCGTGAGGGACTCACGCGGACGTCGCTGGAGCTGCATCTGGCCACCGCCAGGAGCAGTAGTAGTAGTAGTAGCGGCAGTAGCAGCAGTAACAGCAGTAGCAGCAGTAGCAGCAGTAGCAGCAGTAGCAGCAGTAGCAGCAGTAGTAGCAGTAACAGCAGTAGCAGCAGTAGCAGTAGTAGCAGCGCGGCCACCCCTACAACCCCAACTAGCGTACCACTCACGAAGCTGCTGGGGCATGAGGGACTCACCCAGACGTCGCTGGAGCTGCATCTGGCCACTGCCAGGAGCAGCAGTAGCAGTAGTAGCAGTAGCAGTAGCAGTAGTAGCAGAAACAGCAGTAGCAGCACGGGCAGGGCAGTGTGGCTCAGTAGAGCAGGGCTGCACAGCCCGGCAGCACGACACGGCTCGGCTGGGCAGCTCGGCGCCGCTGAGCGGCTCGGCTCAGCTGGGCGGCGCGGCTCGGCTGGCAGGCAGGCGCGTGTCACGAGACGAACTTAGCTAGGAACGGGGTTTAATTAAGGGCCTAGGCTTAGAAGCCTAGGCCAAGCGGGTGTCGAGGGAGTTGTGCCAAGGGAGAATCGAGAATGTGTTGAGGTTCACTATAGCACACGAGTACATATAGCAACCTAACAAAGATGAAAGAGGTGCACCACCATACAAGGGAATTACACAACAGCTACACTACAGGCAGATTATACTAAATAGATATAAATCTATTGTGACACACCCCCTATCTGCCTGAAGTGCATAACCATGTGCAGAGCCCCCCTTGAAGGGGTACACCTGTAAAACCCCATTACAGGGCGTGGGAACACCAGCAAGGGGCCCCCTCTGAAGCTGACAAGCAGCAACCACCAAGCAGCATCTGAACCACCGCGGTGGAACAGGTGCCCGGTTGCGGTTGAACGCCCCGCAGCTGGTGCACGGTGTGCGAGGAGCACGGGTACGGGTAGCGGGTTTGGGTAGCAACTAGGAGCTGGACGGGACGGGCCGCACGGGGGTGACGAGCAGCACGAGACCGGGCAGCACAGACCGGGTGGGGCACGAGCGAGAACTGACAGCACGGGTGGGGCACCAACAGGTACGGACAGCACGGGTAGGGCACAAACGGGCAGAACGGGGCAGCACGGGCAGAACAGGGCAACACGGGCAGAACGGGGCAGGACACGGGCTGAACGGGGCAACTCGGGCAGAACGGGGCAGCACACGGGCTGAACGGGGCAACACGGGCAGAACAGGGCAGAACACGGGCTGAACGGGGCAAGACACGGGCTGAACGGGGCAACACGGGCAGAACAGGGCAGAACACGGGCTGAACGGGGCAGGACACGGGCTGAACAAGGCAACACGGGCAGAACAGGGCAACACGGGCTGAACGGGGCAACACGGGCAGAACGGGGCAGGACACGGGCAGAACAGGCAGCACGGGCAGAACGGGGGACACTGGGCGCGGGTAGAACACGGGCAGCAACTGGAGACACGGGTGGGCACGGGCAGTATGGCACGGGAACGGGCAGCAACACGGGCAGGATCACAGGCAGAATCACGGGCAAAATCACGGGCGACAACACGGGCAGAATCACGGGCAGAATCACGGTCAGGATCACGGGCAGAACACGAGCAAAATACGGGCAGCACACGGGTATGATCACGGGCACAATCACGGGCAGCAGTACGGGCAGAATCACGGGCAGGATCACGGGCAGAACACGGGCAGGAAACGGGCAGAACACGGGTATTATCATGGGCACAGGCTGAACGGGGCAACACGGGCAGAACGGGGCAGGACACGGGCTGAACGGGGTAACACGGGGAGAGCCGGGCAGCACGGGAACACGGGGGGCAGCACGGGAGCACGGGGGCAACACGGGAACACGGGGGCAGCACGGGAACACGGGGGCAGAAAGGGAACACGGGGGCAACACGGGAATGGGCACGGGGCAAGCACGGCGAACACGGGCGGACAGCACGTGCATGGGCACGGGGCAAGCACGGGGCGAACAGGAGCACGGGAAGCACGGGGCAGCACGGGACGAATGAGAGCACGGAGCGCACGGGACGAACGAGAGCACGGAACGCACGGGACGAACGGGAGAACGGGAGCACGGGAGCACGGGAACGACGGGGTAGCAGCACGGGAGACACGGGGCGGGGGGATGACAGGAGGAGGAGTGGTGGCAGTTGCTGCAGCTGGAACATCCACCCACACCCCCTAAACCTCCCCCTTACATGAGCCGCCAACTCCGCCACTCCCCCTACCCCAGCCGTCCCCCATGGGCCAACACCCCACCTCCTCCCCCTCCTGCTGGAAATGGGGACGGAGATGGAGGTGGGATGGCATTTGTCGGTGGGGGGTCGGGATCTGGGGCAGAACGGCGGTCTGGGTGCAGGTACGGGGTGCGGACGGGTCTCGCGGACAGGAGCACGGACGTTGTGCGTGGTGCGGGTTGCGTACGGGCGACGGGCGGGGTGCGGGGCGCGGGTGGCGTACGAGCGGCGAGTGAGGTGCGGGGCGCGGGTCGCGGACGATCTGTAGCGTGCAGTGGCGGAGCAGCAGCTTCTCCCGCCACTCCCGCCACGCCCGCCATTCCCGCCACTCCCTTCACAGTAGCCGCGAAGTCGACGGGAGGGCGGGCAGGGACGGAACGGGACGAGACGAAACGCGGGCAAGCGCTGGTGCTCAAATGACGGTCGCCACCCTTTTCCCCCTCTCCTCTCCCCCCCCCATCGCGACCGTCGACGTTTCCGCGACAGTGAGCCGCGACGAGGCAGCGTGACGGGGAAGGGCGACGGGGAAGGAAGCGGCGGTTCGAGAGGCCGACGGGGGGCAAGAGCAGCGGCGCGAAACAGCGGGTCGACGAACGCCGTCACTCCCGCCGCGACCGTCGTGTCCGTCACGACTACCGTGACGGATTTTGCTACGGGCGAGCGACGGGGAAGGACGGGACGCGCCATCACGATAACTAACGGTGGGCCCTTTAAAAAATAGGTCGGGAACGACCTAGCTCAATACCATGTCACGAGACGAACTTAGCTAGGAACGGGGTTTAATTAAGGGCCTAGGCTTAGAAGCCTAGGCCAAGCGGGTGTCGAGGGAGTTGTGCCAAGGGAGAATCGAGAATGTGTTGAGGTTCACTATAGCACACGAGTACATATAGCAACCTAACAAAGATGAAAGAGGTGCACCACCATACAAGGGAATTACACAACAGCTACACTACAGGCAGATTATACTAAATAGATATAAATCTATTGTGACAGCGCGGCAGGCAGGCAGGCAGGTCGGCGCGGCAGCGCGCTAGTAAGGCAGGCGCGCGGGAAGCGCGGGTAGGGCAAGTGCTCACCAGTGGCGGGAAGGGCAGTCGCTCGCCGGGCGAGCAGGGTAGGCGCACGACGGCGGCGATGGCGGGGCCGCGACAGCTGCAGGGCGGGGCCGCGACAGCGGCAGGGGGCTCCGCGGTAGCTGCTGCAGGGCGGGGCCGCGACGGCGGCAGGGGGCTCCGCGGCAGCTGCTGCAGGGCGGGGCCGCGACTGCTGCAGGCGGCTCCGCGGCAGCTGCTGTAGGGCGGGGCCGCGACGGCGGCAGGGGGCTTCGCGGCAGCTACTGCATGGCGGGGCCGCGACTGCTGCAGGGGGCTCCGAGGCAGCTGCTGCAGGGGGCGCCGCGACGAGCAGGGACGGCGCCCAGGGGGCGCCGCAACGAGCAGGGCCGACGCCCCGGGGGCGCCGCGACGAGCAGGGACAGCGCCCAGGGGACGCCGCGACGAGCAGGGGCGACGCCCCGAGGGCGCCGCGACGAGTAGGGACGGCGCCCAGGGGGCGCTGCGACGAGCAGGGACGGCGCCCAGGGGGCGCCGTGACACGCGCGGCTCGGCAGGGTGGTGCGCAGGCTGCAGAGGCAGCGCCCACGGGCTGCAGGGGCGACACGCGGCTCGGCCGGGCGGCGCGCGGGCTGCAGAGGCAGCGCCCACGGGCTGCAGGGGCAGGCACGGCTGCAGGGGCAGCACGGTCGCAGAGGCAGCACGCGGGCTGCAAGGGCAGCGCGGCTGCAGGGGCAGCTAAAAAAAAAAATCCAGTTAGGCCAGGGCGGAACGTTCGGTTGGCCCTAGGAACGATTCTGCTCTGATACCATGTGAGAATAATAACGAGGAATGAATGAACTAGCAAGCAGGTGGGTACAAGTATGGAAACCTAAAAGAGTTGTACCCCATATTGTCTACCCCACTACAGCCTACAATATAGTTCTGACACCCGACACCCCCGCCATGGACGAATCTTGCCGCATTCAACGCACGACGTTGACACAAGATCGCCTCAACGAATCAATACGCCAACGCGAGGAGTCAACACTCGAAATCGCGACACTCACGGCGGCGACTCTGCTCGACATCAATCAACGATGAATGAACCAGCACCAACACCTGCAAATGCTGTCAGAAACAAGAAGTGTGAACTAGAAAGATTGTTGGAGTACAAGTAGGAAACCCTAAAGATGTGTACCCCCTAAAGGCTAACCCACTATAGCCTACACAACAGAAACATGTATAATGTTTGACACACCCCCATAGGCTAAGTGAAGAAGAACAAGGGGTCACAGGACCAGTCAAGAAAGACAAAGCAAGCTCAGGGTGGATCACAATGTCACCACACACTCTGAGCACAAGCAAAGGACCACAAGGCCAGTTCACATGCAGAGGCATATATGTAGCAGAAACATCACAGTGATCTATATCTAGCAAGCATGCAGGTATATATACATAGATCACAGTACAGGCAGAGTCTACAACAAGTGAGGAAAAGTGGGCACAAGCCCTAGCAAGGTGCAGAAACGCTGATGATCACCAAACTGAAGTGCCTTGGTGAATATATCAGCAGTGTTGGCCTGAGTGGCCACGTAACGCAGACGAAGCTGACCACGCTGCTGCAACTCTCGAGCCAGAAAGTAACGTAGAGCGATGTGCTTCGTCCTGTGCTCCAGTCTGTGCTCCTCACACAAGGCAATGGCAGCCTTGTTGTCGACGTACAGCACTGGAGGAGAACGAGGCCGCTCTCCCAGGTCGGTCAGCAGGTAGGTGAGCCAGCGTAACTCCTGTGCAGCCATGGCTGTGGCGTAGATCTCAGCCTCACAACTGGAGCTGAGAACTGAAGACGAACGTGTAGAACGCCACGAAACTGAACCAGAGCCAAGGCTGAAGGTGTAACCCTGTGACGACCGCTGAGTAGCGTCTGAGTGCCCAGTGAGAACAACTGAGCTCCCTCCTCCAAGCACGAGCCCCATGCCCGATGTACTGCACAAGTAGCACAATACCCTCTTTGCGGCATCCCAGTGCACCTTTCGGTGCCTCCCAGGAGCCACATAGCGGGCCAGAAGGCCAAGAGGGTATGCTAGGTCAGGACGAGTGCAAGTCATCAGGTACATGAGGCAACCAACTAGCTCTTGGTAAGGACCACTCGGCTCTACGGACTCATCCGAAGGCAGAGCTGAGAGCGAGTGACGTATAGCCAGAGGAGTGGCCTGTGCTGAGGACCAGGTGAAGCCGAAGCGCTGAAGGACCTGCTGCACCATGTGTGACTGAGTCAGTGTGATGGTGCGGCGTGCTCTGTCCCGGGTGATCTGCAAGCCAAGGTAGCTGCGCAGTTCACCCAGGTCCGTGCACGTGTGTCTCTTTTGCAGCTCCGACTTCACGTGGGCGAGAGCCTCAGTGTCAGCAGTGGCAAAGACCAAGTCGTCGACGTACACGAGGATGTAGAACGGCGGCAGCGAAGTGTCGGTGCGCAGAAACAGCGACGGGTCAGCAGTAGAAGGCGCGAACCCAAGTGCCGCAAGAGTAGTCCTGAGTGTGTCGTGCCACTCACGTGGCGCCTGGCCAAGACCGTAGACCGGCCGCCGGAGGCTCCACTGGGTACCAGGAGGAAACGACCCAGTGAAGCCAGGAGGGCGGCGCAGCCAGATCTCCTCGTGCAGGCTGCCCTGCAAGAAAGCTGCGCTGAAGTCAAGAGAGTGAAGCTCGTAGTCACGCTGAGCAGCAACGTGCAGTAGCACCCGAAGAGTGGTCATCTTCGGGGTGGGGGAGAAGGTATGGAAGAAGTCTACTCCGTCTCGCTGACTGAAGCCTCGAGCAACGTAACGAGCCTTGAAGACAGGCGGAGAACCCGGCGGCCGCTTCACCCTGAAAATCCACATGCCACTGACGATGTTCGCCCCAGGAGGGGGAACCTCATCGACGTAAGTGCCAGTGGACTTCCAGGATGCCATCTCTGCGTCCATGGCTGACTGCCACTGAGAGGAGTACTCACCCGCGATCGCCTCAGCGTAAGAGCGCGGGGTCGGGATGTTAGGAGCATCCGGGTCTCCCTCAGGGGCAATCAGCATGGACACGAGATGAGGCGCAGCGGCTGCAAGACACTCAAGGTCCTCCTGTCTGTCCTCAAGGACGTCCGTGCCTAGAGCACACTCACCCCCGACGGACGGAGGACACACAGACTCAGACTCAGCAACAAGACTCGCAGCGTAGTCTAGACGACAGCGAGCAGCAAAGTCGACAAGCTCAGCAACTAGGGCAGACGCAGCAGCAGACTCAAAGGAAGGGTCAGTGACAGCAGTGGCCAGGAGACGCGTGACAGTAGGACTGGCAGCACGAAGAGAGTCAGACTCCGGGTCAGCAAGGACAGGAAGAGAGGACGCAGGAGGAGACGGCAGAGGGACACGCTGTGGAGCAGTGGAAGGACGCAGAGTCATATAGTGTGTGCCAGGGACAGGCGGAGGACGCTGACACGGACCACGGCGACCAGTGTGAGCAGCACGAACTGGTGACACAGGACGAGACGTAGGCGACACAGGACGAGACTCAAGCTCACGACGCTCTGTAAGACTGCCTGTCGGACCAGTGTAGGGAGAAGGACCAGGAAGTGGCGAGGCAGGCGGTAGCTGTGACTGCGACTGGACAGGCGGAGGACACTCTAAGGAGGGAGGAGGACTAGGAGGAGGCGGCGGACCAAGAACCTGCTGAAGGAGCGGAACGAAGTACGGCCGCGGCCGTGAAGTGCCCCCAGAAGCAGCAGAGACAGCACCAGAACCTCCAGCCGAACCAGCACCAGCAGCACCTCCGGCATCTCCAGAACCTCCAGCAGCACCGGCAGCACCTCCAGCAGCTCCAGGACCTCCAGCAGCACCAGCAGCACCTCCAGCAGCTCCAAGACCTCCAGCAGCACCAGCAGTACCTCCAGCAGCACCAGCACCAGCAGCACCTCCAGCAGCACCAGCACCACCAGTAG